GTACGTTGGGCGTACGTGTGTCCGGGTGAAAAACCTAATTTTTAGGGTTGTGGAGCATTTAAGCATCTTTATGGACCATTTACTCCCATCTCTCTAGCCTCCAAGTCCTTGATTCGTTTTTGGCAGACCCTAACTCCATGAGTTTGTGTTTTGAGCTAAGAGTGTGTTCCTTATAGGTTTGAAGAAGATGGAGTTGCATCAAGGTGATTATAGATTTAAGCAAGCTAGTAGATCTTGGATCATCACTTCATTAAGAAGCTCCATAAGGTAAAAAGTTGCCACCTTTATGCTTGGTGTGTTTGGATCTCATCTTGGTAGCTTTATGGTGTTCTTTTGTCCTAAAAGTCTCATTGTTATGCATGCTTCATTTTGCATGTTTTGGGTTGTCCTTTCAGACCCTATGATGGGTTCTAAGACATAAAACTGAGGTCCCTTTAAATAGTTTGGATCCATGTTCGTTGTGGGAGGTATTAATGGATTAAGACCATGTATTAAGGACTTTTTGGACATCTAAAGTCTTAAAGTTTGAGACTTTATGATTTGGGAGTACTTTTGAACCATGGATCTGAAGTTTGGGTTTAAGTGCTTAATCTATTAAGCTCCTAACAAGGTTTTGGGCTCTGCGAGAGTACGCCACACATAGGAAGAAGTACGCCCAACGTACTTGGTCAGTTTCCCCGTATGCGATCAATGCGAGGCTCGCGTACACCTTGCGTACCTTCGGGGTACACCCAATGAATGGCATCTGTTGGGTTTTCGCATTTAGGCTCCGTGTTTTGGGCCATATTTTGGGGTTAAATTCTTTGGCCTCTAATGGACTATCTAAGTAGGTGTGTTTTGGGATTATTAGAGAATTAGACCTTAGGATAAGACCTAATAAGGTGTTTGGGCCCAATTTGGAAAATTGGGCCAATTATGGGCCTTGAGGTAATTTGGGCCTTTTGGATCAATAATTGGGCTTAGGTCTTTGCCCAATTAGGGAAAAGGTAAAATGGATATTTACCCTAAGTATGGATCATTAGTCAAGGATGGTAATCCAATTGTTAATTGGATGTTTGTTTTGTTGTGATAGTTCGGGATTTTCGTGAGCCAGCGGTCAAAGGTTTCAATATGATTTGGCATTGCGAGGTGAGTTTTCATCACTATACTTACGGGCCGAAGGAACCAATGTTGGCCCATTGGATTGATATCCTGTTATGCATGCTTTTGTGCTATTATGATACGTTAGATCGATATCCTGGTAGATAGGATGTTCTTATGTTGTATTGATCTATTAGATCGGTATCCTGGTAGATAGGATATTGTTGCTGTTAGGATCTGTTAAATCGGTGTCTTGGTATATAGGATATTGATATGTTTAGTGATATGTAGATTTGTTGACTGGTTGTAGTCTGTTATATGATTATCTGTTAAATGTGCACATTTTTAGTTGGTGGCTGAGGCTTCACTGCTTTGTGCGTAACCCAACAAGCCGAAGCATTCCAACCTGATGGTTGAGGACCTAGTGTATTCCATCCTGAGGATGATTGGACCCATAGTATGTTGGCATTCCAACCCGATGGTTGAGGGGCCTGGGGTATTCCAACCCGATGGTTGATTGGACCCATAGTACGTTGGCATTCCAACCTAGTGGTTGAAGGGTCTGGGGTATTCCAACCTGATGGTTGATTGAACCCGTAGTATGTTACCATTCCAAGCTAATGGTTGAGGGGCCTAGGGTATTACAACCGGATGGTTGATTGGGCCCATAGTATGTTGTTTTGTTTATGTGTTGGTATTTTTGGGGGAACTCACTAAGTTTCGTGATTACAGTTTTGATTTATGGTTTTAAGTACTTCAGTTGATCGTGTCAAGGTGAAGGCATAATCGTACACATCCTTGCGTTTTTGGACTTATGATTTCCGAGAGACTCTGATAATGTGATTGTTTTGAAAACTATGTTGAAAACGATTCTGATTTTTAATAATGTTTTGGAACAATGGTTTTTGTAAACACTTCTTTAGAAAAAGAGTTGTTTTAAAAAGTTTAAATTTTATGAATTTTTATGGATGTTACAGTTTTTCAATTTTAGGCACGGTTTCACATACGGAAAAGTTTTGCGGGTTGACGTTATTTTTTACAAATTGATCCAAGGCCACCTTGAACATATCGAAATCGTTTGACCTGCTTTTGCGTATATTTTGGCGGATGTTGTAAATTCCTCTAAATTCGGTGCATTTTAGTCGAATATCGCGCCACTTGGAGCTAATTTGATCAGGATTTCAACTTTCACTTCTCGTTAAAGCATAAAACACGCTTCAAACTTTCTCCCCAAAATAATTGAAGGTTTGATTATCTCCTTCAATTGGTTCTTATGAAGCCGAAACTCACGCCTCTGCTAGCTTTTCTTCTTCCTCTTTTGTCCATGGTACTCTTTCTTGGGTAGTAGAGTGGGCCAGCTTCTTTCCTTTTTTCTTTTTTAGTTAAGGTAGTGGTGGTAAAGGTTGTGTTTCGAAAACAAAATACGGCGAATGAGGTGGTTGTGATTATGAAGGTGGTGGTCGTGACGATTAAGAATGGAGTTGTTGGAATTGTTTGAAATTGTTGAACTTGTTATTGAATGGCCAGAAAAAATTGAAATTATTGTTGGAAAAGTGGTGTTTGTTGGATAGGGGAACCAATTTGTAACAAATTCATAAAACCAAATTGAAGTGATTCTATGATCGGGAATTGGCAGGGGGTGTATCTAACGCAAAAGTGTTATCGGGTTTGCGGTTTATAAAGTTTGAGGTAGTATTTTGGTTAGAATCCATGATTTTTTGTTGTAAAAAGATTGTGTGTAATTAAGTAATAGTGAAAGAAAAGAATTGTGTGAAAAATGAGGTTGTATGATTAGATATTTATAGGTAAAATTGTTATTTAAAAATTTTCAAAATTCAACCATTCGAACAGCTAGTCAAACGGTCAAGAACAAGGAAAGGCCCTCATTGGACGTTGCTACTTATCGTCCGCACAACGAATCGACACGACAACGACAAACCACGATCGGCCGGGGTGGTGTACACAGTCGTTATCTGTAGCCACATAGACCACAACCGGGTTCATGGTCCGTGTACCGGACAGTCTAAGTCCTAATCATGAGTTATCTCGCAAAATAAACATATTTAGGTCCCTTGTATTCCTATATAACCTACTTTTTAGATAGTACCATAAAATGATTACGGGCATGTTCAACAATGAGTGTTTAAGAGCCTTTAGCTTCTAGTGTTTGACAAAACGCTCCGTTTTGACCAGAAAGTCGTGTTTGGCACTACAAGCTTCTAGCGTTTAGTTTAAACAAAACGCTTCAAATTCAAATGCTACTTCATGTGGCGTTTCGCTACAAGTTATCAACTAATTTTGTCAAACACGCTTACATCTTTCGCTAAAACTTTTCGCAAATTCATAACATTACTTTTTAAATGGCCCCTGCTCTTTAAACAATATTATTTTATTTTTTTAATAAACTATTCGTGCAAATTTCGTTCAAAGTTGATCTTGCTAATATTTTTTTTAAAAATATATGAAAATAGTATTTTCGATCAAAATCATTTCTTACCAATAATATAAACAATTGTATCTTTAGCTAAAATTGTTAAGGTGTTTGGCATTGAAGTGTTTGACTTGCATGTTTAAATATCTTGCAAATGTTTTTACAAAATTTTCATTTCTATATTAAAGTAAAAAAAGAAAGGGCTAAAAAGGATCCATTTCACATCCTCCAACACAAAATTATACGCATTACCCAAATGTGCATTGACTTAAAGGAAAACATTTATAATTTAATACTTATAAATTAATAACATTGATAAAATTAATAATTTGTTCGGTTCCAATTTGAGATCAATACAAAATTAGATTCCAATCGATAAAATAAAAAATAATAATTTTTTGAAATCTCAATGTAAATATATTGATCCCAACGAAATTATAAATTAATAATTACTAAAATATTCTAAAATTCTAGAATTATCTAGTAAAAATTAATCTGTAGTCACTTGTTTTTTTTTTTTTTTTTTGTGAACTTCAAATCTATATTAAATTCATCTTTAAATCTCTCAATTACACTTAAGAGTGAGACGCTTTATTCTCGTATCGCAACAAAAAGTTATGAAGAATTGTTGCGGCTTGTAATGTTTCTTTCCGAGTGATCGGTTCTAAAGATACTGAATCATCATTAACTTCATCATCAACCAAATTTTGAACGGTATACGCGGTAATTTCTTCAATACTTTAAACCTTGTAGCATTCATTATTTTCACTTGGATAATCCAACAACTCATTCACATCCATTTTGTGACATAATGCATTCCCGTAATCAAGTTCTCAAGTTCACGAATGTCTTCTCCAAAATTTGCATCTTTTAAATCATTTGAGCCGATTAAATTAAGCGAACAAATTTTATAGTGTCAAAAGCAAATTGCTATGGACTCTTGTTTCAAGCTCACCAATATCTTCTCCAACTCTTTAAATTAATAAATTTTTTAATTTATTGATATAATAATATCTTGCTAAATTAAGAAAATGTCAGAGTTCCAACATTTATAGAGAGGTATTACTCTATTTTTGTTATATTCAAACAAATGCCTGTAGCTAATCGGCTTCGCAGTTTTTAAATTCCACAAAAACAACATTATTTATTCTTTTGCGAACCGGCATCACTTCATGAAGAAGAAAAAAATCAGGATTGCAAAAAACAATTAAATTCACAAAACATCATGTTCGGAAAAAGTAACTTTATGAATTGATAGACCTTTTTTTTAGAATTAAATGGTCCTTGTATGATACAACTTAATTTATTATTGTTATATATGGTTATATGTATATCACCATTTTAGTGAATAAACCTTTTTAATCATGGGATGTCTTGTAAAATGGTTAATTGCACATGCTGAAGGGTAATTTGGGCATAACACCATCAAAATCAATCATTTATCATATATCAGAATCAATAGTCAGGGGACCGTCTTTGTAAATTAACAGTTCGATTTGATTTGATTCTGGGTTCAAATTTCTCGTATTGTATATCGTGACAACCGATTCCACATCGTGGGTGTGCGACAGAGTGAGAAAGCGAAAGAGAAAGTGTGTGAGAGAGAGGGAGAAGCGGGGATCGGTGTGTAGAGAAGATTAAGGAGATGGCAAGGAGACCAGACGAGGAGTACGATTACTTGTTCAAAGTAGTGTTGATAGGCGATTCAGGTGTTGGAAAATCCAATCTTCTCTCTCGATTCACCAGAAATGAGTTCTGTTTGGAGTCTAAATCCACAATCGGCGTCGAATTCGCAACTCGTACCCTACAAGTACTCTCTCTATTTCTAAAACTATATCATTCCTTTATTTACGTAATTGAATCTCAATCCCAAACTTTACTTGCTCTTTTTCTTGTTTTGCTTCATTAAGTTATACTTCTATGATTCTAAGACACGTAGCATTCTTATTAACTTGTATCTATGTGCAATTTGATCCCATAGATATTAAGTGTTACAGATCCAGATTATATGAAACTTATGTTGATGGTTTTGTAATGCTTTCAATCGATCTCTGTTCCCGTAAAACAACTGAATCTACGAATCAATTTCTACTCAGCTTCATGATCCGTGTTCAGAATTGGATGAAGTAATTCCATTCCCAAAGTTTCACTATAAACTGCTAACAGTAATTGATTTCCCTATTTGAAAACTGTTGTTGCATAGATCAAAGGCATATAACCTTGATAGTGATCCAAGTGATACGCTCTTGAAAATTACATCTCATCTGTTAGTGATCATAATTCATATCATAGGTTTTACATAATCTGCAAGTTTAATCATGTCTATCAATCAACAATGAACAGAATATATCATGAATTTTATCTTGTTGTGTTCAGGTTGAAGGAAGAACGATAAAGGCTCAGATTTGGGACACAGCAGGGCAAGAACGATACAGAGCAATAACAAGTGCGTACTACAGAGGTGCCCTAGGAGCACTTCTAGTGTATGATGTAACAAAACCAACAACTTTTGAAAACGTAAGCAGGTGGTTGAAGGAGCTGAGGGATCATGCAGATGCGAATATTGTGATCATGCTTATAGGAAACAAGACTGATCTGAAACATCTTAGGGCTGTTGCAGTAGAAGATGCTCAAAGTTTTGCAGAGAGAGAAGGGCTTTCGTTCATTGAGACCTCTGCTTTAGAAGCTGTAAATGTTGAGAAGTCATTTCAAACGATTCTTGGTGAGATTTATAGGATTATTAGCAAGAAATCTATATCTGGTGGAGAGTCTGGACCTTCTAGCATTAAACAGGGTGAGACGCTTGTTGTTGGAGCACAGGATGGTAATACCAAGAAGGCTTGTTGTTCATCCTCATGACTGTTTTATTGGGTTGGAAACTTGTTTGGATTTTATCTTGTTGAATTGTGAGTTTATTTTTTTCTTTTGTTTTTTGTGTGGTTAAGCACGAGGTACATTACGGATTGTAGTTGATTTTGATTTTCTTACAAATGAATTCATGTGCTCTATCTTCATTGCATTTTAGGTGTTTCTTTTTTTACTTGGACTGACAAAATGTAATTCGATAAGCTATATATAAGTGTTCCCTTTTTGCTTAATGCCTTATGTTCTCACAAAGTTGGTTATGTGTGTGTATTTGTGGGAAAGGTAAATGGATTTGATTAAAATTCCAAAATGTATTGTGCTATTTGTGACAACCCTCGTGTTTAGATGTATCTTATTTATGTCTTTCACGATAGCAAACGATGAAATAACAAGAAAAGGGCATTAACAATATCCCTTTTAATTTGTGTAGACTGTAGAATCATATACTTTAATAGACTGTTAACATATTATGGTTTGTTTGGCATGCATCAGATTGTAACATACTGATTTAAATATACAAAAAAAAAAAAAGTTATTTTTTTTTATCAGTTCGAAAAAAGTGGAACAATGGATACTCAGCTTTCAAACACTCATTTATGCAATAGACGTAAATGCCCTCCTCATCATCAACAGAATGGCCCTAGAAAGCTTGTGAGTCATGTCTTGTAACAAATGCAACCAAATAAAGTGACAGTTGATATGGAAAAAGTGTTGTCAAAGATTTAACATGAGTTAAAGCTAAGATAACACAAAGAAGTTGATGGGGTTTGGTTAAAAGTCTGCAACATTTTACAAGGAGAAAAGAGTCATTTCATACTACAACATAAATCCAGAGTATAATATCAGCCACAACAGTTGCTCTTCTGCTCAATTGGCTGCCCTTTGATTTGAACAGTGCTTCCTGACTTCTTGTCACCTGATGTCTGGTTACCCATTCTGTAATTCAAACAGATATTAGAAAACCAAACCTCAAATTATGACTAATATACCCTCCAATAACTCTTACTTTTTCTTAATCTCAGCAGCCATTGTCAAGAAAGCTTGTTCCACATTGACAGAATCTTTTGCACTGGTCTCAAGGAAAGGGATCCCAAGCTCATCTGCAAATGCCTGAAGGGACATGACTTAATCCATTAAGCTCTATATATTGGTGTTCCTTTTTTATTTAATACAGATGAAATGACTTAATGGAACCAAAATTTATAAAAGTATGCAATAATACCTTGGCTGTTTGTGTGTCAACAACCTTGTTCTCAACTAGATCACATTTGTTTCCTACAAGAAGCTTGCAGACTGATTCATTTGCATATCTATCAATTTCACTTAGCCACTGCTTCACGTTGTTGAAGCTTTCCATATCAGTGACATCATACACAATCTGTATCAATTGTTTTAAAAGATGCAAACAAATGGGAATTAGAATTATGATTTTGAATCAGTTACCTTTCCAATTGACTAAATTCATGGTTTAATTGAACTAGTTACTTAAAAGGTTACTTTGAAGTCAAAACTATAATGCTACCTATAACCAAAAGTCATCACTTTCTTTTTTAGCTCAATAATATCCAATTTTATATTTTGGGACACAAAATTTTAATGGTTTATCACATGCGTTCTCCCCACAGCTTTCACTATGAATGCATTGGGCAAAAAAATTAAATGCAATTTAATTATTAAAGCTTACTTCATAACTCCTCAAGATTTGCAACATTTTCCTTCTTTAGAAAATTTTACCAAGTAACAATACGTCAATACCAACATTCCCCATGGAATTATTACAAAAATAGTAATTTTTGTTTGTTTTAGCTCAAACGATTTATCTCGTCTTTAAGGGGGTTTTAAAGGGGGGTGATCTACTTTTATTAAATTTACAAATACAAGATGAGTGTTGCAAAAAGAAATTATGAACTTCAATTGAATTGCAGTGAGTTGATATCCAGTTTATGAAAATGAAAGTAATTATGAAGCTTTTTTCAGAAATTTTTAATAAATCATAAAATGTAATTCTTACGATTATCCCATGGGCTCCTCTGTAGTAACTACTGGTTATAGTACGAAACCGCTCCTGGCCAGCAGTATCCCACTGTATCAAGAGAAAGATTTTATTAAAAAAAAAAAAGTAATATTCATCTATTTAACAGTGATAAATTTAATGAAAGTGACTTTGGCCTAATGATTTTTTGAAATAAACTATATATAAAGTCCAAGAGTATGTGCAAGAAACAATACTCACAATCTGCAGCTTGATCGTCTTCCCATCCAGCTCCACAGTCCTAATTTTCTGAAGCATGAATTTGTAATTTTAGCAGACGCCAAAAATCAAAAGAAGTCTTGATCATAGTGTGATAATGTAAACACATACACACAGATAAAGAGATAGAGGGAGAACACTTACAAAATCAACTCCAATGGTACTTATGTAACTATCAACATAAGAATCATCCTGAAATTAAGAGGACAACGACCATAAGATCTTGAAGGAAAAAATGTATTCAGACATAAAGCATGTCTAGCCTAATTACATGGACAACATTTCCAATTATTTTATTGAACATTCAGTATGATCATACCCTGTAAGATGATACTAACTCTAATACGGTAATGGCAAGGACGTGATTTTGTAAAATTGTTTGAATATTAGTCAAATGTCCTCTAATCGAGAGGATATAAGATCATCTTGTTGTGGAACAAACTCATAAGAATCAACGAATCATATACTGAAATGAAGAGCAAATCGGTAAATACTATAAAGAAATTCAATTAATAACTCAGAAAATAATGCAATTTCCAAATATGCCAAAATCGAAGATGTTAAATTTTGAAAACCTCAGAGATGATGATAGATTTCCCAAATTACTCTCCTAATTGATTATTCCCTAAATGGTTAGACAGAAGGAGTGAGAAATCAACCAGTAGATGCTCTAACGAAGCAACACCAATGTGCAAATACAGAAGGTGGATATATAGACATACATACATAATATTTATGTGCGTATATGTATATATACACAAGAAACATTAAAACCTTTGAATTAAGAAACCCTTCAACTTTACAGAAAACCAAGGAGGTCAACTACACAGAAACCGACATCCAGAAACTGTTTGCAGGACGGGGGAGGGGGAATTATTACGAAACTAAGTAAAGAAAGCAGTTGAAATTCATACAGCGAATCTGAGAAGAAGGCATGATTTTCCAACAGAAGAATCTCCAATGAGCAGGAGTTTGAAGAGATAATCGCTACAAAATCACAGTAAACAAAAATGGAAAATTAGAGTGGGATGAAACACAGGTAGAGAAAGTACAAGGAGAAAGCGAAACCGACTATTCGTTGCTCATTGCTGCTATGGCGGATTTGCTTGTGTTGATGATGATTGGAGTGAGGTTTTGAGGGTTTGTTTCTACGTCAACAAAAAGCAACAATCGTAGGGAATATTATAGAAGGTATGCTCTCCCACGCCTTCAACACTCGTAGTAATCTTGGAGAATGGATTTTCGTTGTGAAACTTTAAAATGTAAGTTATTTTATCTACAAATCAATTTATAAAGAAGAAAAAGGAAATTGAGTCACATAACTATATTTTTAATGGTTTTTCTAATAAAATAATTATTTTTTTAGAGGAAATTACAATTTTAACTAAATATACTAATTACTTTGTAGAAAATAGCAAAAATTGTAAAATTAGCCACTAAAATCGCAGATGGAAAAATTCATCTGCAATTTCGTCATGTCTATCTGTAAACGTACAAGTGCCTAAAGCAAAACACAGTTATGCTTTAGGCACTTATATGTTCGCAGATGGAAAAGTTCATCTGCGATTTTGAGATTCACATCTGCGATTTCATGTTTGTAACTATAAAAACGTATTTTTTCTTCATTTTCACTCTTTTTCTTGGAGAAATTCTCCCTCTCTCTGCGATTTTCTTAGAGCTATCATGAACGATTTCTTCTACAATCCCGAAAATATTGTAAGATCTTAACTCATTTTGTGTTTTAATCAACATTTATTAAGTGTAAGTTTTGTTTATTTATGATTTATTCTATTAGATTTTGAAAGAAAAAAAAAACAGACTATATTGTATCTTATTAGGTAATTGTGTTGTATTTGATAGATAGAGTAGTATTTATTAGTAGCCTTGAAGTTTTGATGTTATTTGGTTAGTGGTTGTATGAATGTACAAGTATACAATGTGTAAAGTGTGCATTAAGTTGTTGTACATATGGTAACTTTTTGTTAATAAGTTTAGTGAAATGAGTTTTTTAATAAGATAATGTTTATTATTGATTGATGTGGTATTACATTTGCTTATTTTTAGTCTATAGGCGGTTTAGTTTGTTAAATTAATGTTTATTTAGTTGTCGTTACTATGAAAAAAACGATTACAATATGGTTACATATTTTTAGTCTACATGTTGGTTTACGTATTGTTATGGTTGTAATTTGAATGTTGATTTATTTATTCCATTTAATATCCATATATTTTTAAAGAAAATAGTTATAATTTGAATGTTGGTTTATTTATTCCATTTAATATACAGATATTTTTTAAAGAAAATAATTGGTTACAATATGGTTATTGTAACATTCCGACTCCCAAGTACAAAAATTAAAGCTTATATTCACATTCTTAGAGCTACTCGACGAGTTGGATTCCCCAACTCGTTGTGTAGAAACGGATTAGACCGCGTAATTTATGAGGTATACTCGACGAGTTAGAGGACCCCAACTCGACAAGTAGGAGCTGAGGAACAAAACCCTAATTTCCAAGGTTTTACACCCTATTCAAATGGTCATTAACCTCCCTCACCGTCCCCCTTGAGCTCAGAAACCCCTAATCGCCTCTACTCTCCATTTTTGTGTGTTAAGAAGCTTGGAATGTGGATTTTGTGAAGAGAGCTTGAAGTCTAAGTAGCTTGGAGCAAGGAGAAGCTTGTGGATCTGATTTCTACTTCATCTTAGCATCATCTTGAAGGTACCAAGTCGTTACCTTGACTTTTCTTTAGCTAAATCTCTTCATGTAGAGGTTTAGGGCTATTTCTAGTTTGTTGTGGAGTTATTTATGGTTTTAGGCATGATCTGAAGTTGTAACTTCATATCTGGACCCCTCTAGTCCTTATAGTCATAAATTTCTAGTCTTTAACAAGTTATGGCCTTCTCCTTACCTAAAACTTCTTCCTTAGCTTGGTTTTGGCGTTTAAGACCTTGCATGCACGTAACGTTTG